TAACCTGTATATTTTTCTCAGTGATTAGTGTCCTTTCTTCTTCCCTTCCTTCCTCCTTTTCTCCTTCTTTCCTCCCTCCCTTCCTCCCTCCATTCCTTCTTTTCTTTCTTTAGTTTCTGTAGCTTTTACAGTTATATTAAAATATGTGTACTTCCATAGAAAAGTATGCTAACCACTGCATATTACCAATATCATTATTGTTATTTCATAGAGTCTAATGAGCAATGACATAAAAGCACATAGGTACCAAAGTTAGGCAAGTCTATCTTGAAAACTATTAACTATAAAACACCAATGCTTCAGGAGCTTTTTCTGCTAAAAAGTACCATAGATGAGGGAGGTATTTTTTAAATGGTTCACCCATTTCACAGATTTAAAAACTGATATTTGGAAAATTTCCTAGGTTTTACATAGAAAACCAGAGGCAGATAAAAGCTAAAAAGTCAGGAATTTATTCCCCCATGTTGTGCTTAACCAATTGGCGACAGGCTGTCTCCAGACTATATTTTCTTTTTAACAGCTATAAAGTGAATGAACTCAAAGGACAGTCTAGTGTCTTGCTGCAATTGATATGAAAAAGGACAAGGGAAGAAAAGATTCCTCATTAATGGATTTATATTCTAGTGATAGGGTCAGGGGTTGGAAAGGTCATTTTGAAAAGTAAAGTGAAATATAGAGCAAGCAGGAAAATTATCTTGTTATCTGACTCAGAGACATGAGGCTGCACGTTATCCTCTGTTCGTTTATTTTTTCTCCTAGTTTTCCTTTTATTTTTAGATAAATGTGAGTCAGACAGATGAGACAAGAGTAATTTTTAGAAACTCTCTTTGTAAGCTCTTGGGAGGAGAGTTTTGCTCTTTTAATATATTCTGGTTGGAAGCCCCATTTAACTATAAAAGAAGGAAATCTAGAAGCAAGAATTTGAATCAGAATTTGGGGTAAGATGGTAAAAGCAAATAAAATATACAAAAAATGGAGGTTACCCTCTTTTAATTAAGTACATTAGGTAAATTTAAAACTTAACTGAAAAATTGAAATTGAAGTTCTCTCCAGATTATGAGAGACAGAGATACACACAAAGAGACAAACAGAGAAAAAGACATTGTAACTGAAAGGAATTTTTAGTATAACAAAGATTCTGGGATTAAAAGATAACTGTTTTGGTGATCTGTACTTGGTGACAGGTCCTTTCTATATAAACAACTTAATTTAACTTGCAACAATATTTGACCAGGGATGACCTATTTTTTAAAAAATGTAGATGCCTAGAGTGCCTAGAGTCTAAATGACTTGTCCACAGTCTCCAGTCTTGCTGGCTCTGGCTCTTTGCTCTTGTCCCTTCGGAAGGTCCCCTGAGAGGTCTGTTGCTTGGGAATGCAATGAGGAAAGCCAGTTGCACACCACTGGCTACATGTCCAAACGCACACGTGGGTGAGGACACATGACTCTTAGTGTCCCAGGCACACTCACAGCACAAGAGAGGGAGGGGTCAGCTGTGCTGGGGTGGGGGTGCAGCAGGTTGGTCAGGACATTATGAAAGAAGAACAAAAGTCCATTGAACTGGGTTTTCCTTGTTGATAAGTCATAGCAGGACATCTGAGATAGAGAGGGTAGTCTGCAAGAAATGGCGTGAAACAGTGGCCTGGAGGGTTTTTTTGTAGGTTGCCAGATAATTATAGGTCACTCAAACTTCAGATACACACAAAAAAATCATCTTATCCTATGCAAGATTTGGAATATACTTAAATATTTTATTGTCATAAATTCAAATTTAACTGGACATCTTGTAATTTAATTTGCTAAATGGAGTCATACTATGCATTTGGGCCTGTTGGAATGTGATGTGCAATGCTGGGGGATTGCTAGAGAGACATGTTAAGGCTTAATTATGGAGGAGCTAGTCTTTGTCATGTGCTGGGTAAATAGGAGGAAAAGCAGGATTATCCTATACAATGAATGGGATAATGTGTTCCAATTCTGAGTAAAAATTAATTTGAACAAAGTATTGACTCTAATGAAATGAACTTTTTTTTTGTTCATTCATAAAGCAAAATGACTTGCAACAAACTTTTAAATAAATTCCTAATGTCTGATTCTACTTTTTTTGACACGAAAGATATGTATAGAAGAAGAAATGCTGGGTTAGAGAGGGGAAATTTAAATAAAAGCAGCAGGATAAAAAACAGACACATTTATATCATATATACAGTATATATGTGTTTCCTGTTTAAATTTTAAGCGAGGCAAAAAAGACAAATGGAATTGTCTTATCCACATATAAATCCTGTCTAAGCTAAATCAAAGATATTCTGTTCTGACTCAGTAACATGAAATTCTTCCCCAGAGCCACAGAGGAAGGCATGACATGGGCACAACTGAGAATCACCCTGAGGATGGCAAGTAGCATTTTTCATATTTACTGAAGTTTTAAGAGTAATCAATTGCTTTAAAAGATATTTTATTATTGTATTTATGCTTAATGATGCCCAGTGTCTCTGGGCCACAGAGCCATGAAGCCCACCTCCCTACTATGCTTGGAGAATTCGTTCAACGGAGACATCTGAACATTTCAATATAACATTTGGAAAATAAAATGGTTGGTGAAAGTGGTGACTGCAGACCAATTTAGATTCCTCTCTCCCTCCTCATTAAATATGGGGCTGTGTCTTTTGTTGACTTTTCTTTTTGTTCCAGAAAGGATTTAAGGCTGCTCATAAATATGTGAGAGTCCTATCACTCCTACACGTATGGCTGCTCAAGCATTTTGATGATCGTACATTTTAGTTAAAGGCAAAGACTTCTTTATGGTTAGTGTGTGTGCACTTCTGGGGAAAGTTAGTATAATCATTTCATTTCACCAATGATATTACTTTATTCTGATTTCAATTGTGTCTAATGAATTCTATAAAAGCCTTAGAACAAGAAGCATGTTTTGAAAATTAGATACAAAAATTCTATTTTATTGGGGAATTTGCTCTGATTTAATTTTTATTTGATTGGATATTTCATTGTCTTTTGCTTATACCACTTTGCTTTAGTTGAGATTAAGGAAAGACAAAAATCTAACTATGGTAAACACAATCTGAGTTTCATCAGCAACACTATCAGAGAAAGAAAGAACAAATAACAAAGTAGATGTTGGTCATCATGAATGACTTTGATTCATTATGTTTCCCTGAATTATTTTTTCCTTTGGTAGATATGCTGTGCTATTTTAAAAATAAATTTTTATTAGTGCTCATGGATTACAGTTCATAAAGAGTACGCTAATTTTTTAATCATGTTGTGTTTGAAATTGTGCTTTTCTTGAGAAAAGATCTAAATGTCAGCAAGAATGGGTTAGGGGTTAGGAAAGCATATTTTTGATGAGAGGGAGAATGCAACATATTGGAATGGGCTGGTTTCCCAATGCTGTTTTCAGTGATTTGGGAGACATCTTGTCAAATGAGCTGGAGTCTTACTGAATCTGATGATGATGACACTAGGCTCCAAATAAGCGTGACATGCTGAATAACTTGTTGAACATCACAGGATGAATTTAATAGGAATACAGCATAAGCATATACAGCTTAATCTGAGCTCAGAAAACCAACTGGGAAAATAGTTTGCATTGAAAATGATAAAAACAATGTCCTAAGGCTTGTAGGTAATAGCACATTCAGTATAAGTTGACAGAGCAGCAGGACTGCTATTAACTTACTAGTATTTAAGTTAGTTTCACAGAAAACTTGGTAGGTTGAGGAAAACATGAGAACCATGATCTGCATCTCATAGTGCAATGGTCAAATTTATTTTTTAAAATCCTAAGTTCATATCTTAGCGCTGCACTTTAAGAGCCTGTTTTCTGGGCTTGTTGAGAGAATATGAAATCATGTCAAGAGAAGTGAAATAAGTCAATCCCAAAAAACCAAAAGCAGAATGTTCTCTCTGGTATGTGGATGTTAGCATACAATAAGGGTTGGGGGAGGGAAGAATAGAAGTTCATTGGATTAGACAAAGGGAAATGAAGGGAAGGGAAGGCAGATGGGAATAGGAAAGACAGTAGAATGAATCACACATAACTTTGCTATGTTCATATATAAATATACAACCAAGGTAATTCCACATCATGTACAACCTCAAGAATGGCAAGTTATTCTCCATATAGAAAATATGCCCAGATACATTCTACTGTCATGTATATCAAAAAAGAACAAATAATTAAAAAAAGAACAACTATTGGAATAGAAAATATTTGGCCTGAAGGAGAGAAGAGCTTTATTGTTAAAAAGGAAAATGTTGAGGTTTTGGGTTTAGCTCAGTGGTAGAGCATTTGCCTAGCACAAGCAAGGCCCTGTTTAGTCCTTGGCCCTGAAAAATTATTTACACACACACACACACACACACACACACACACACACATATATATATATATGTATATATGGAAAACATTTATGTTTTCTGATGTTGAATGTATACAAGAACCGATATATAGATGTTTCCATATAAGAATGAACTTGGAAGCAGTCCTTCACAGACAGAATGGTCTGCCATCTTTTACCTGGAAGGGCTGAAGAGAGATGATTTACATATTCAAACTAGGTCTAGAAACTTGTGGCCCTTCTAAATTTGCTATTCTGAGTTTCTGTGGCTATTTGGAATATTTGCATATATTCTCTGGTATGCATATGTTCTAAAATAGTTATTTTAGGAAATATGGTGACATTAAAAAAACAAACAGAAAACCCCATAAAACTAGCTTTTACTATCATGTAGGTAAAGCAAATAGTTGAGTAGATGGAAATTTCAATTTGATGCTCAGATATCAAAGGCATGAAGCTTGTTTGTGGTTATTGGGTCCTCTTGTCTACATATGTGTCTTTTTCAATATAACCCTCAGTATAAAAGGACACAGGGAAAATGAGTTACAAAACCCCCCAAAACAAACAACAAAACAACAACAACAAAACAATATGAAAACAAAAACAAATACAAAAAACCCAAACATATAAAACCCTTACCAAAGCATTCCTGGATCTGGGATTCTGGGATGTAGCTTAGCTGTAGAGCATTTGTGTAGCATGTCCAAGGTCCTGTGTTCAATCCCCGGTGCCAAATAAAAAAAAAATGAGTTCCTAAGTACATTAGCTATAACATTTCATCACAATCAGAAGTTTTATGTTGCTTACACTTATGTATCATTGTCTCTTTCTGGCCTTTTAACCTATAGTGAAAAATCTCTGGATAACAAATACTTGTTTCCAGGAATATTTTATATCATAAAATACACACATGACAAAATAAGTAAGTCCATCCCTTAGAGTTTCTTTCAATGATTAATGGAATCAATTTTCTGATTTCTCTGTTTTTTTTTTCTCCTAATAATTCCCCCTCTATTTCATTTTTGCTAGCCACCAGCTGGCTTTTTTTCTACCCCCACCCCCTTTTTTTTTGTTCCCACCACATAATGACTTTAAGCTGCAAGATAATTATACAAAAAGATTTGCTCCAAAAGTTACATGGAGCCAAGTATGTCAGCAATGGAAAGAACTAGTACATTTTGTTTTGAAAATTTTTAAAAAAATCCTAGATCTGGCAATTTGTCTACTTAACCCTCCAATACTCTTGTCTGTAGAATTCCAACAGAAAATGCTTGCTTTTCCTTTTCCACCTATCTCTAAAATTGCAAGGTAAAATTTGTGGGCATCTTCAAATTGCATCTTTTGTAAAATACTGTAGAACATTAAATTATAGTACAAGTGTGTATAATAGCTACGCTATTAGATGGTTAGATGACTAGGATATGGTGCATGCATTGGACTTTGTATAACTAGGAATCAAAATCACACTAAGAATTTTGATTTATTCCTTAAATAAAAACACTTGGTATCAAATTTTCTTTGTATCTTGCTTCCTTTTCTTTCTTATCTTAATGTTATTACGAGGTACACTGAATTCCAGATTTAGAGATCAGTTGCAAAACTCTAGCCAGACTTGTCCAGCTAGGGTTATCTCAAATTGTTGTTTAGATAATGAACCTTTAGGTAGAAAAATAAGAGATGGGTTGCCTGCACAGTCTTCTCTATAATGCCAGCCAGTTCAGTTCACTGCATTCCAGGTAGTATATCCAGGAAGAGTTGATCCTCTGCATTCAGCTTGTGCCCTAAGATATAACCCCTTGGGAGTGTGGCAAAATGCATGAGAGTCAGATAACCATGCAGAAAGAGCTCCATCTTTAGCTCTCCAGGAGACTAAAATGGAGACTGTCTTGTTATCCTATGTTCCAGTAAACTCCCCCCATATTGAGGGCTTCCTCCAAAGCATTTCAATGTGTACTGTGTTGTCTAACTGAAGAGCAAACTTGTACATTCAAAGCATACATTTTTGGGAAAACAAAGTCCTGCTCAAATATGAGGTCTTGTGGCTACATATCATTTTAATGGAGCTACATATATAACAACGTAACTTTTAATTAAGTCATGTAAAAGCTTAGACCCTGCAGGTTGCAAAGGATTAAGTTCTATCCTAATTACTCTCTCAGCAAAGCCAGTGGAAAATTAGATGCATCCCACCAGGCAATAAATATATCAGACTACACAAAACTTAAACTAGAGAACAATCAACCTCTTTTCTTTGTTCTTTCAAAGGAGAAGTGGATTAAACCTTTTAAGAAAAAGATCAAGAGCATTTTATGGGAAATTCAGGAAAAAAACTCTTTGGACTGAAATCAAAATGTTATGAATAGTACTTTCTAAGTAATGACACATATCAGCAGCATTTGTAACCATAAGAACAATGTGATAAATTTTAATCACTGGGGACTCCAGCTCTGTGGGAAGTGCTTACTACACAGACATCATTTATAGGTTTCCAGTTATGACCTATGTCTAAAAGACATTTTAATGATAACTGAAGAAAGTAGATAGATTGTCTTCCTCGAGTGTTGAAGTTCCTGCTTGTTGTCATCCTCAGCTCTATTAAAGAGCAGAGGCTTTCAAAGGTCCTCTTCAGTCGAGCAGTCAGGGTACAAGACCAAAGGGATGGAACATCTAAGATAAAAAAAAATGCCAGAAACGTACACTCCTCAGGATTTCCTGTGGGAGTCTGACCAAAATAAAGCAATATTAATAAATATAAATTCTGGAACACTATTATCAACAGAAACAGGGTCTTGAAATGTACCCTTGAAATTCTTCTAGTTTCCTCGGGCAGGTCAACTATTTCAGTGTAACTGTGCAAAATGTTAGACCTCCTGACAGGGACAATTGCTTTAAATTATATTAAAGACTCAAAGACTCTAATAGACATGTTAGAGGAAAGACTTTAATTTGTTGGATGCTCTAAATCTTTAAGCTCACTCAGGGTCCTTTGGCCCCTTGACCTTAAAAACATTTTGGGGAGAAAAAAATGTACTTTCAAAGCATCTGAACATTAAAAGCCATGCATTGGTCAATGTGCTTTTTATTGCTTTCCTTTTCTTGACTACATTTTTGGGAATAAAGGACATTCAGGTGATACAGAGGGGACAAAAAGATAACAGCAGTAGAGAAGATGTGTGTGCTTAGAAAATTGTCTCATTCCTTCAGTTCTCATCCCCATAATTTGAAAAACAAACCCTTGAATATAGCTCATAGTCAGATAAAATTCCTGATCCAAGGTTTCTCTGATTTGTTTTGATGGCCTCCCCTGGCTTCCAAGTCATTCTGAAGAAGCAAATCATCTCTCTCAGTCAGGAAAGAGCCTTCCTGTAATGGTTCCTTCTGACATTCAGCCACCAAAAGCATGAGGAATTGGAATACCTCCTGGCTCTTTTATTTCTCATTGAATCCTGGTTTCACAACACGTTATACACCATGGGATATAAATTTCCTTAATACAATTAAGGAAAACTTCACTCAAATTTAATCATTTTAAAGCCAGTTTAGGTTAAGATCTTTTGCTTTATAAGGTTATTTTCCTAATAGGACTAATCACAAATATGTTTGATTTTCTCAGATTTCTACATAATCAATAGCATACTAAAATTAGAGTGTTAAGAAGAGAAAAAAGAGCAAGTAATCACTCTTCTTTTAAAATTTTTTTTTTAAATATATTTTTTAGTTGTCAATGGATATTTATTTATTTATTTATATGCAGTGCTAAGAATTGAACCCAGTGCCTCACACATGCTAGGCAAATGCTCTACCACTGAGCTACAATAACAGCCCACTATTCTTATTTTTAAGAGTAGATAAAGGGGCTGAGATTGTGGCTCAGCGGTAGAGCACTCCCCTAGGAAGGGGGAGACCCAGGTTCGATCCTCAGCACCACATAAAAATAAAGGCTTTGTGTTATTTCCATCTACACCTACAAAAAAAAAAAAAAAGAGTAGATAAATACACAGAACTCTATAGACTTCTGTTTTTTAGGTGGTAGAATGCTTAAGTTTCCTCTCTTGAAAGTGACTTCTTTAAAAGGAATGAGTGAAGTGGTAATATATCAAAGATAATGATAGAATCACCAAACATGTCACTAGATCCAAATTTTAGACCTCCATGAACTCTCATTATTACTGTCTTTTTTTATTATTTCTATATTAAATTGTAAGATCTGTGTAAACCAATCAAATAAGATACTTACAAATCAAAGTTTGCAGTATGGTACATTAAAGCACCAGTATTCGTGATATGTTGTTACTTTTAAAGACCAGACTAGCATCCAACTGTTTTGACTATACAATGAAAGGCCAAGGACCAGTTCACCAAACAACTGTTCTAAGAATATATGGCCCTTCTTCAACCTGGCTGAGCTACAAACACATTGATAACTTGGCTCTGAATGAAGGGGCTCAAGTCAATTTAAGACATTGAAGTCATAGAATTTTCTCATTTTTGGTGACCTTAATAATCTAGACCTCTCTCCACACCTCCCATATCACCAAAAAATTATTCTATAACCTGCTTATTCTTCCAACCTAGGTCTCCAGAATTAGTGGTTTATTTGTTTTGTTTGTTTGCTGCTACAAACCACAACTATGATTAGCGTTTGTTGTTGAAAATTTTTTTTCAAATTCTTTTTCTTGGTTTTTAAAGGAAGAACTCTAACATAATGGGAAGTCATGTCGGTGGAAACACTTTTCTAAATGCCCTTTATTTTCTCTCAGTCTACTCTTTCAAGAATGCTTATCTTGGGAAAAAGGACCCTATCATGAACTGAGTGTCTGTAGAGCTGTTGAAAATATTGAATGATTAGAAAAAAGCAGAAGAATGACACCCAGCACCAACTTCCTGGTTAGGTGAACTGATCACGCATTCTTTGACTAATAAACTACCTGCAGATTAGCCATGAGAACCAGCTATTTAGCCATAGCTATGGCCTAGCAAAGCTGTGAGAGTCTATAAATCAAGAAGTCTTTTGAACTATAGAATACTTTTAATCTTTTGGTTTTGATTGAAATACCATGGTTGAGCCTTTTCTCTGTTCTCTGTTGTATGGCTGTGGATAAAGTTTAGACAAAGGATATCTTCAATTATTTATTTAATTCAAAGTCTCTGTGAATCAGGCAAATTGCAGGGCATAAAAATTGTGTTGCTATTTCAGTTTACAGGAGCTTGATTACAATTCTAGCGTGCTGACTAAAAAAGATGGAACAATAGTAATCAGCTCTCTTACTGGACAAGGGAAGGTGAGTAGAAGGAAGGAGGTGCAAGAGGGTGGATGGATAAATAATATCTCATAAATGAAGATTCATATCTAAGTTTTAGAACCGGCATATTTATCAATTGCTTTTGACTTTTTCATTCAGTGGGGAGGTATGTTGTTGAACAGTTAATCCAAACCAACCTGGACTTTTGAAATCCCCACTCTAATGAGAAAGCCTTGTCAGAAAAAAAAAATGAATTTGTACAGATTTGAGAACTGATGCAAGACACTGAGTATTAAGGTTTACAGACTTTGAAGCTCAGATCCTCCCCACACACATCACACACATCATTCCAACACTCACAGTTTAACTCTGATGAATGGCTCCACTGAGACAGAAATTATTCAACAGTGTCCCATCCCCTTCCTCATCCAAAACCTCCTCCATGAATAGGCCCTCTTGAAGGCCTTTGTGGTCAGGGAAGAGAAGCAACCACATCAAGGGCCAGCAATCAATCGTCTTTGATTATCTGCATTATCACTGCCCGGAAAATAGACTCACAAGACAAGTCCTCCTAACCCCAGAAAGGCAAATGATCAATTTTCTAACATTCATCCTCAATTGAGCAGCATCTTTGTTTCAGTTTTCTTCAAATTTCATCCACATCATTTAAAACATCATTTGATTTAGGTAGGGTTTTGTGTGTCATAGATTCCAAGATGAAATAAAATTTTAATTATTACAAACAGAAAGCAACCATAACATTTCTATCTCCAAATTCCTTTTCCTTCAATTTTCTTTGACTATCTAAAATAAAGTGTGGCTTATCCTGGGGTCAATAGCAGTCCACCGGAAAGGATGTCTTTTCTCTTTAATATAACTTTGTTGCTATCTTCAAATTACATGAAGCCATCACTAATTGGCCCCCAATTTCAGTTTCACAAGAACATGGTAGAACGTGAAAGATCTTTCTGATTGTCAGAAAGGAAAGATTCCTGTAGTAAAGCACACAATTTCATTTTCAAGTAAAACAGTTTCAGCTCTATTATGAATGACTGGAATTTTAAAAACAACAACAAACCATTCAGATATTTTTCCAAGACTCACAATCTGCAGCCTTCTCATTTAGCCAAACCTCCCACTAGACAAGTAGGAAAGATAAACAAAGCAACAGACCCCTGGGTTGTACACATTGACAAGATTGCAGGCCCTTGGATTAGAATGCTTCATCCCCATATCCAGTGTCTCCCAGGAGGACCTCGAGTAGGAGGAAGGAGGAAGCATGAGGTTAGGAACTTGGAAGATTGGGCAGATAGTCAAAGCACTGGATGGATGGGGCAGCCTGTAACTCATTAGCAGAGGATGTCCCAGGGGCCCTGTAAACTTCCTAAAGCCTGCAAAGAAAGCTAAGTTCTCTAATGGTCAGGCTAAGCATTATGCCTATACCCACTGCTGGTCAGGGGGTTGCTCACAGTGTGTTGGGAAGAGACAAGCACCCATTGGAGTGTAAAGCCTTAAATCAACATTTACTGAATTGAAGAGCTCATGAAAAATATCATGGCCATGGTTGCTTTCATGCAAGAGGCAAAAGGAAAATGGGAAGGAAAGAAAATGTGTATTGTGACATTTAAAGTATCATTTTTAATTGATCAGATGAATTCTTGATTTTCTAGTAGGCATGTTTCAGAAAGATTGGAAAAAGTTCTTTATTTTGGGTGAGGAATTTACTGTCATCATAAAAGTGACAATGTAAAATGTAGCGATATAGGTGTATTTTACTGGCAATTCAAACACCATGAGAAACTATATTTTTAGGATAATAATTGATTATTAGGTCAGTTTGCAATTTTGGTACCAGTTTTCATAGTTTGCATGCTGACAGTGTCCTCTCAATCATATTTTTTCAAGTATACTATGTTCAATAAAAGATTCCTCCCACATCCAAAGCTGAAACGGTCTCCCTTTCTTTCCCTATTCAGTTACTTGTCCTGGCACTCATTGATTTGCACTCTCAAGAGTGTGTCCACCTTGTGAACACCTCAACATACAGCAGACCTCATCCTCCTTTGTGTTCTGCCCACCACTGCTTGTCACAATTTAATACATGGTAGGGCCTTAGAATTGGTTCTCCAGTTTTATTGTTGAATCACTGACCTCATATTTGGGGATGGTGAGTATGCAGGTTTAGACCAAAAGAAAAACTATATTACACAAGAACATGAAGTGGAATGGAACCTGTAAGGATATCAGCCATTATAAAGATTTCATATTGTCTTTGAACCTAAGTAGATAATTTATCAAAAAATCCATGAGCATTGTAATCTCAACCAAAGGCATACTAATTACTTCAAATTAATTTACCTTGTTCACTCCAGACCAAGGCAGAGCACAGCTTCAAGCGACATGGCTGTTCTGGGGAACATCTGGGAAAGAACAACAGAGACATCAGTCTGGCTTGCAATGGTCAGGAAATGAAGTGGCTCATTCCTAGCAACGGCCCATTTTGTATTTTGGAGGCAGAGATATAAACAATGACAGACTCTGTTAAAAGCAGCTGTACTCACAAATCTCCCAACAAGCTTCATATGTGCAAACTACAGGAAGAACTCCTGGTACCATATTGGGCTTCTCAGTCACACAGAGAGAGAGGAGCCATCCCTGTCAGTAGTGTCATCTTTGACTGCGACACAGAACAATGTGTCCATATCCCACTCGCCATGTGAGTGAAGGTGGAAGAGAAATGGGGTGGGGTCACTGACTCTGGCAGGTCACTTTTTGAAAAAAAGTCCTTTATTAACCCTCTGCAAAATCTGAATAGAAATTTCATCCTTGAGCCAAAAAAAAAAAAAAAAAGAAAGAAAATAAAAAAGAAAAAGAAAATCTAAGTTGAAAATAGTCTTCAAATTAAATCCACACTAATTTTATATGTTACCTCTCTCTTCAGGTTTTATTTTTTTCTGAGTGTCTGCTGATAGGTTGTCAGGTTGTTTGGGTTATCGCCTTCCCATCTGAACGTTTTATTGTGAAAGCACAACATGTGAGACCTAACATGATGTATTAGGCATATAAGTAATTACGGAAAAATGTAGTTAAGCCCATGGATTCTTTGGAAATATGCATAAATATTTACAAATTATAGATTTAAATCCAACTTTTTCTGTAAATGAAATATATCTCATTTTTTTTTTTTTTTTTGTAAATGAGAAACATCAAACTGAAGAAGGCAGCAGAACAGCAAAGCATTCGTTTACTCTGGAAAGTGATTCACAATCCCTGTTACCAAATAATTACACATAATTTTCATAACTCTAACACTTTTGCAGATTTACACATCTTTTGCACATCTGAGTTTTATTTTATTTATTTATTTTGAGCTTTAGGTAATCTGGGAATGAATTTTGATGATCAACTGTGTATTGGGACAAGGCCATTTGAAGTTGATGTTTACTTAAATATTAAAGACACTATTTATCACATTTCTGGCTTCTTGAGTTTATGATTCATGGCTTACAATACCAAATTTCCAAATAGTTGATTTTTATGACCCATTTTCATCCTCTTCCTGGAATTTTCCTCAATACAAAGAAGTGAAAGCAGAATTTGTCTATATGTTAGCAGTATGGACAATGAGTGGTCGTGTAGAAGTGACCCCCTCTAGAGTGGGCCACTGATCAGAAAGTTTTCAATAGCCACTGGTTTGTGTGGTTGGATTACATAGCAAATCTTATTTGGGAAAAGTAATTTTTAATTTAGAAGAGATATTTTTCCAGTAGTCACCCATGGCTATTATATGACCTTTTGTTAGCAGCTCACATTAATTGACCAATCATCTAAAACATCTAGAGAAAAACAATACAAAGAATGGGTAAGCTGCACATGGAGTCCATGGGAGAAGAACATTATTTCGGAAGTATGGAGCATGAGCTACATAAATAATAAAAAATTATTTTGTCCTTTTTCTAGAAGCCAAAGATAAGTATGACTGGTAATGGCATTTTCTATTTTATCAGTGGACTTATAGTAATTATGTCATTTCTACTCATACTTGTCAGTTAGCTGGAGTGATACACATGTAGCAGTGAATGGCAGTGTTATGCAGAGTAATAAGCCATAGTGCCTCTCTTATCACACAGAAGTGCCTGCAAAGGGGGGAATACACAGTGGTTCCCCTTAATGAATGATTAAGAATCCTTTCTAAGGGTAGATACAAAATAATTGGACTATTTTGATTAAATTAATACATTCTATAAAAATGGGCAGAACCTAGGTGTAATTTTTTTTTTCAAAAAGGCAGCACAAATACTTTTTTGACCTGAATTAACTGGTTTTTATAGTTAATATAGGAAGACTATATTCATGTATAGAAAAATACTCCTAGAACCAGGAGGGTGGGTTTTGAAAGAAGTATATACAGAGATCAATGGTGATGGATTTCCAGGGATTTGGAGCTACATGCTCTTTCTCATGATAATTAGGTGTATATTTTTGAAAGTGACACATTCAGATGCTAGAGAAGGTATATTACAAGAATGACATATGGAATTAAGACAAAAAAGTGTCAGTTCTCACTTATATACCAATAATGTTAGCCAGAATTTGGCACATCATACTTCTCTCCCTTTTAGATTAACAGTATCCATCTTCAAAAATGATTTTTATGAGCAGAAAATATATTGAGAAGGGCAAGTGATAATACATTTGAATTCATTAACAACAACAACAACAATAACCCACTATGACCATTCTAAAGCATGAAACTTTACCAAGAATCTCAGATTCAGAGTCTTTGTAGGGTTGGAAGGCAGGTGACAAATAGATGGAGGTCAAAGATCCATTTTTCAAGCCTTGCTCCAGATGAAATAGTAATGTGGAATAAGGAAGTATCTTTACACAGAAATTCAGTCTCATTAGGATGGAGGAGCCTGTCTATGGTTTTATTAACCCCAACCTGCTTTTCAGCTTCATGTCTATCACACAATTCCCCACCCACTCTCCTCAAACTGGGCTGAATTGCAATGGCTGTTCACACGAATGGATTTGTCATGCTGAATCCACTATTTTTATTCATTGAAATGGGAAAGAAGTAAAAGCATTTGTAATATAAAAAGTAATCAGAACATATAGATTAGATGATAAATTTCCCTTTCTCCTGTAGAAGTTAGTTTTCTCAATAGCGTCAATTTATTTTTTCATGTAATGACTGAGAGCTTGCTCTATGTTGGGTGATATTTAAGGCACTGTGAACATCACACAGCCATACAGAGTCTATGTCCTAATGGAATTTACATTCTAGTAGGAAGATGAACAATAAAAAGGAAACAACGAAACAAATAGTTTAATATCTAGTGATGCTATGAAACACTCTGAAGAGAAAAGTGGAGAAAGAGAAATTGTGACTGGTAAGAAACTACTTTAGAAAATGTGGTCAGGAATTCTCTCTAAAGTGAAAATTGAAAAAGTATTTAACAGAAGAGGACAAATTCCACTAGAAGTACCTTGATATACCAATATTTGTGTTATTTTTCAGGTATAAGACTCTCTGACACAATAATGTGTGACCATCATACTAAACATAGGGGTGACATCCGTAAGGTGATTGACATTCTTACTTCCTGGCAAGAATAACTTTTTTCAATGCTGGTAAAAAATCGTGTAACATAAAATTTACCACCTTTACCATTTTTAAGTGTGCAGATCAGTAGCATTAAATATATTCATATTATTATGCCACTGTTCTCCAGAACTTTTTCACCTTATAAAACTAAAACTCTATACCTGTTAATACCCAGAGTTCTAGGAATTCTTTCTGTATTTTGGATATTAACCCATTACCAGATACATTACTTGACAAAATATTTTTTTCTTATTCTGTAGCTCACATTTTCACTTCATTAATTGTATCCTTAATGTGCAAAATTTTAAATGCCTGATATAGTCCCACTTGTTGATTTTTACCTGTATTTTTGGTCAATAAATAATATCCAAATCCAACATCATAATTTTTCTCCCTGGGTTTCTATAGTTTGGGGTCTTACTAATTTATTTCTGTTTAATTTTTTTTATATATAATGTAAGAAAATGATCTAATTTTATTATTTTGAATGATGATATCCAGCTTTACCAATAGCATTTGTTGAAGAGACATATGATCTCCCTATTAGGTGGTCTTGGAACTTTTGTTTATTTGACCATATATGCTAGGATTTATTTATGGGATCTATATTCTATCACATTGGTCTATATCTTTATCATTATTCCAGAACTTCACTCTTTTGATTAGCTTTGTAATATGTTTTGAAACTAAGAAGTGTATATTCTCCAGTTTTGTTCTCCTCTAAAATTGTTTTGGCAATTTTGGGTTTCTTAAGATTCCATATATATTTTAGGATGGATTTTTCTTTTCTGGCCAAAATTCCTCTTGGTATTGGATTGGAATTTTGTTGAACATATAAATTGTTTGGTAGTAGTGACATTTAATAATGTTGTCTTCCAACCCATGAACATGGGATGTTTCTATTTAGTTATGTTTTCTTTCAGCAATGTTTTATATAGTTTTCAGTGTACAAATATTTTACCTCCTTAGTTTTGTTATCAAGTATTTTATTCCTTTCAATGCTATTGTAAATGGAATTGTTTCCTTTTTTTGTTTTCTTAATTTCCTTTTAAAGTTGTTTATTGTTAGTACTTGAAAACAATTTATTTCTGTGCATTGCTTTTATATCTGCAATTTTGTTGAGTTTATTAGCTCTAACAGTTTGTGCATGTGCACACGCATGTGTGTGTGTGTGTGTGTGTGTAAGATCTGTAGGGGTTTTCTACACATAAAGTTATGTTTTTTTGCAGATGATTTTTTCTTCCTTTTCAATATGAAGTCTTGCTTATTTGCTCTGGGTAGGACTTGCAATACTGTGTCAAGTGAAAGTGAAGAGTCGGCACCTACTATGGTTGTGGTTTGAGTGTATCCCCCAAAGATTCATGTGCTAGTCATTGGTTCCCAGAGTGGTGATGTTGGCGTGGTGGGACTTTTAAGAGGTGGGTCTTAGTGGAAGGTGGTTAGGTCATGAGGGCACCAACTCAGAAATAATTGATTCTCTTCTCTTGGAGTGAATTAATACTTGTGAGAAGTTCAACTATTTTGCCTCCCAGCTATGATGCCATTTGTTATTGGCCCTCACTAGAGTTAAGCAGATGCCAGAACCAGGATCTCAGATCTTCAGATCTGGGAGCTAAATTAACCTCTTTCCTGTAAACATTTCCCAGCATTAGCTACATTAGTTTAGCAACAGAAAATGCACTGAGACAGCACCTTTGTCTTGTTCCTGATCTTAGAGGAAATGCTTTCAGTGTTGTATCATTGAGTCTGATGTTAGCTGTGGACTTTTCATAGATGGGCTTTATTAATGTAGGGATAGTTCCTTCTGTTTCTAATTGTTGAGTGTTTT